AAATAAGATTACTACATTGCAACATAAAAGTGTTTTTGTTGTTGCTGTTACTACTTTATTGTTCTATGATTCTAGATTACAAATAAAGAGGCTGTTTAAACAAGAAAATGACTCACTATAGCAGTTGTTTTTTCAGGGGGGTTCTCTAATCAAATTCCTTTGGAGGAGGACAGTGTCACAAACTGTTTCTCTCTCTCTTCCTTTTCATTCTGTTCTTTCCTTTCTGTCTTTTCTCTGTCCTCCCTTCCTTTCTTTCTTCCCTTCTTCTTTTCTTCCTTCCTTCCTCCCTCTCTTCCATGCTCCTCCCTTTTTTTATTTCTTTGTTTCCTATCTTCTTTCTTAAAAAACGAAATGTATTGGGTATTTATTCTGGGCTAGGGCTGAATGCATTAGATACAAAGACCTCCAAATAATGAAGTGGCCCAATAAGTAAAAAGAAAATTACAGTAAATATCATAAGTGCTTATTCTAATTCCAGATAAGCAGAGCATGCTATGAGAATCTATATGAGAGATGGTGTTGGAAGAAGCTTCTCCACTAGAACTAGATCTCAGGTACAGAGTGGTATTTCATCTGCGGACTCCTAGGTAGTATTATCCTACATTTTCTCAACCTCAGGCACACCCCACACTCCCACAGAATCCTATGACAATATTTGTACCAGAGTCTGAAGTAGGATAGTGCTTGCAGATGAGAACAATCTGGATTTAAAGAAAGCAGAAGAGATTGGTAAGGATAGGATGGATATGTTAATTGTCTGGATTGAGTCATTCACTATGTAAACATATTTATTTCAGAACACCAATTTGGACATGATAAATATGTATAATTTTTGTCAATTAAAAAAATAAGAATAAAAAAGGATCCATGCATGGAACAGAGAGAAAAACTAAGTCAAATGTTGTTCATTAAAGAGTTAAGAACTAGAACTGCACTGTATTTACATTATAGATTTTACTATTTCTGCTAAGTAGCAGACTGTACCAGCTGCATTCAGAGATTTATTTACAGAAAAACTGCAATAAGCTTCTTGGGAACATAAAGATCATAAGGTCAATAAATCAGTAACTGTCATGATGATAAATTTCAAGTGAACAACTTGAGTAAGCCTTTCATTAAGGGAAATTAATAAAATCTTTATTAATTTATCTTAAAATCTTTAAAAAGGGTAAAGTTTATTTAATAAAATGTATCAGTATTAGTTCATTAGTTAAGACAAAAGTACCGTAGTAATGTAAGATAACAATAAGGAAATTGTCATGAGGTATACAGATACATTCTGTACTATCTTTGCAACTTCCCTGTAAATCTAAAACCATTTTGAATTTTGTAGTTATTTAAATTTAAAAATGATCCTATAAAGCCTTTAAAAGTATGTTGTTAACCAGAACATTTTTAAAAACACTTAAAATGTTATTTTTTTTACATAACTTTGAGAACTTATATATCACTTGACATGAAATTTCTTATGTCCAGTCTAATTTCAATATGAATAGGGGAGTTATTAGGGATTTTACTGCTACATGGCAATGATCTAGTATCAGGTTCACCTTTCCGCCCTGTGATTTGCTAGAATCAAACAATGGTACAATTTTCTGTCAGCCTTGTTTCTCTTTCAATTTATCAGAATTAGTAATAATAAGTAACATAGTCAATATTTATTGAGTTTTGACTATATGTGGATACTCTTATCAGAGCTCTACAGTAGTATTTTATTTAGTTTTTCTGAGAACATTATGAGATGAATATTATTATTGTCCTAACTGCACAAAGTGATATTGAGAGGTTAGGTCACTTGCCCTCTGGCATGTGGTGGAGCTGGGCCATGAGGAGGCCATTGGACTATAGTGTCCACACTTCAGACCTCTCTGCACTGCTCCCCCAGTCATCAGGACTCCCATATTAGAATGCTATTCCCCTCCCTTTAGTAAACATTGAGAGACTCTATAATTAGATATTTGGGTGATCCATTAATGTGTGGCAGAATACCCAAATGGTAAGCTGTCTACTACATTCCTTGGCACATCTAGGCACATAGGAAGTAGGTTTTGAATTAATAGATAGATTTTAATTTAATAAAGAATTAATAAATATTAAAAAATCCAAAAATCACTAAAAGTAATTTCTTAAAGGAATGAATATCTTCCAGAAAACATTTTCTCTTCAGGAATGCATGCTGTGATAGCATGCTGACCCCTCTCTAATAATACCTTATAGTCTCTAGAGCTCTTAGAGAAATGTGGAAGTGGGAGGGTTAAATTTCCTAATTTAACATCACCCTATTAACATTATATACTTTGAAGCTAGGCTATAAATGTACATAGCTTTAGTTTCCCTGTTGTGACTTGGAAATATGAAGATAATAATAATTATCCCATGACTTCACGAATCAAACTTGTCTTTGAGCTCCTTTGTCTTTGTCTCTTTCAGTTATTTAGCAACCCAGACAGCTCTAAGAGCTGAAAAGAAGAGGCAAATCCACCCCAAATACCTATGAAACGCAGGGTAAAGGTACAAATGGAGCCCATGTAACATATGTCTAAAAGCTATAAATCAAGCTAATGAAATTTAAATAAAATATCTTCTCATACCTTCACAATTACTGAAAGACCAATTTCCAATTTGAAATCCTCTAACTCCTTGGATTTTTACAGCAGAACATGTTGGTGTGAACATAGTAGACTTTTGGCCTTCAGCCTACAGCTCACCCGTTTTCCTAGTACCAAACCCTACCACAAGAGGTCTCCCAGGTATAAATGTGGACCCCTCTGCCGAGATGTCCAGACTGTTCACACTTTACACAAGTGTCCCTCAACCATCTCTCCAGTATAGGGGTGTGAATAGCAGGTATGGTCCACTCTTAGTGGGAAAGGCCCAAAGAAAAGGCTTATACGGACTCTGGACGTGGACTCATGGTATTTGAACACAGAACTCTGAAGCACCAGACACCCAGATAATATCAATCAGGTGCACTCTGAAAACATAGAAACTTTATCAGTTTATCAAAACAAATAATTTTAATATAGGCAATTGATTAAGAAAGTACAGAAGATTGAAAATGCAAGAATAGACAAAAATTCTAACTTTTCTGAATCTTATATATCAATTAGACATTTAAAATGATTTGCTATGACTCTAAATTTTGCTATGAAAGAGGGACATCAGAAAAATGGGATAATGGGATATTGCAGCCAGCTGATATTAGAAGAAACCTGGGAGGTACATGTCCTTGTCGGGTACCAGACTGACCCATAGCACGAGTTAAATCTTTCTGTCAATCCACACACTACTGTCTTCAAGACAAGTTCCTACTCTTCAGGACATGCAAGATAGTAACTTTAGGATATTATTCTGCTCTTCAGAATATTCACGTAGGCAAAGGACATCTGTGGTATTGTTAAGTAAAGGGGAAGAAGGAGAGCGTGATCTATACCAGAGATGCCATTCCCACCTTCACCCTTTCTATTTAGAAACCTCCCAAGTGGCAGCCTTGTGCCTGGTCTGTGAGAAGCACTACTGAAACAACACACACACACACGTATGGTTTTTTAAATATAACATCATTAACTCCCAACACAAAAACAAAAACCCATTCTTGTTCCAATATGCAGAAAATTCTTACATGACCAGGGGTTTTACTCAGTACATCCTAGTATTAGATGCGGTTTCAGACATTTTTCTCTCATATTTGTTTTAGGTATATGTTTTTTAGCTAGATCATCAGAAAAGCCTGCCTACAGCAATTAATTAAGAAATAAAGTGATCAGTTATAAAAATATTGCTAAGTGTATTATCTCATTATTTAGTAAATAGAATAAAGACCTTCCATAGCTATAAAAAGTTGCAAAAAGCCTATGTCAGAAATAGAGAACCTTAAATATAACTGTTTAAGTGAATTGTCTTGGGCATCTGCTAGCTCTGGAACTCATATACAGATATTGTAGAAATTAAGCAATTGTCCATATAATTGGAATAAATACTCTTTCTGGGGAGAAAAAATTATCAGTTATCTAAATTTACTAGCTTTTTTGACTGATTACACTTTTACTAAGTGATCTCAGGCAAGTCACCTAACTCTGAGTTCATTTGCAAAACTGACGTTATATAACATTACCTATCCCTGAAAGCATGTTTGGGATTGAAAGGTAATAACTGTGAGCAAAAGAAGAGCCAAACCAGGTGGATGAGCACATTAGACTACAGCTTATTTCCTTCTTCAATTCTTTAGAGCTCAGGCTTTTAATCATTACTGTCAGTTGAATATCTCACTTACCAAAACACCCCCACTATAATCCCAATTAAAAAAATTTGAGGAGAAAAAAACTTTGCCTCTTCATGAGAAGCTCTATGTCAGTAGCTTCTATCACCCCTAGCACTCCAGGTTTCCTTTCTCTTGTACATAAACTTGGTTAAGAGTTAGTGTTTATTCTAGTGAGTTGCTTAAGTGCATTTCTAAAATTTGGCACACTGTGGAACACAGTTCCCAGGAAAACACGAATGTATAGGATGGTTGGTGCTGTTCTCAGGCTTCGTTCATGATGGAGCAAAAGGAATTCATCCTTCACACTGCTTCAGAAGAAGCTCTGGTGATGAATCAGAAGGAACTTCCTAATACTAGAAATTGTTGAACCTGGGAAGAGCAGAACAAAAGGAGATATAATATCCCCCTTTCATTTGAATATAGTTAAAGATTTAATTAATGAAGACTATTTATAGACATAGATAGACAAATAGATTTTTTAGGGTGTACTCTCACCCCAGCCCTCAATTAATTCCTATTATCATTTGTAGGCCAGTAAATTCAAATGCCTTTCCTAATATTGAACGCTTAAAAACGCTACCTACAACTGACTATAATGAAAAATGATGCATTATATTTTTTATGCTGTCTTCTCTTTTTTAACAAAATCACCAAAATGGTTTTCACATATGTACTCATGTACAGAATCAGTTAAGAGTGTCCCAAGAAAGAGTATGTTTTCTAAATCACCTCTTCCTGTTCATTCTTTAACAAAACAACAGAATGCCACATGCTTTTTTCTCAGCTTCTTCATAGCTGTCTTCATATCAGCATTTCTGAGTGTATAGATGAGGGGGTTCAACATAGGTGTGATCACTGTGTAAAACACAGAGAATACCTTATCCACAGAAAAGCTGAAGAAAGGCCTCAAGTAGATGAATACACATGGCACAAAGATCAGGCTGACCACCATGAGGTGGGAGGCACAAGTGGAGAGGGCCTTGCGTTGGCCCTGGTAGAAACGAGTTCTCAGGGTCATCAGGATGACAGCATAAGAGAATAGCAAGACCAAGAAGCAGATGAGAGACAACAGACCACTGTTGGCAACCATCAGCACTTCTACCACATAGGTGTCCATGCAGGCCAGCTTGATAACCTGTGGGACATCACAGAAGAAGTTGTCCAGTTCATTGGGGCCACAGAAGGGCAGCTGGATGACCAGTATAACCTGTGTGAATGAGTGGATGAAACCTCCACACCAGCAGGCAAAAACCAACTGAAGGCATAGCTGGCGGTTCATGACAGTCAGGTAGTGCAAAGGGTTACATATGGCGACATATCTGTCATAGGCCATGACTGTCAGCAGAAACATCTCAGTGGCTCCCAGAAAGTGGAGGAAGTAGATCTGAGCCAGGCATCCTGAAAAAGAGATGGTCTTGCCCTGCTGCAGGAAATCCCCTAACATCTTAGGCACGGTAACACAACTCAGGAATAGGTCAATGAAGGAGAGATGGCCCAAAAAATAGTACATAGGAGACTGGAGCAGGTGAGCATCAGCTCGCACTGTTACCACTATCAAGAGGTTTCCCAGGATAACAGCAACATAAAAACACAAAAATATTAAGAAGAGAAATAGCTGCATCTCCCAGGAAGACGATAGGCCCAAAAGGACAAATTCGATCGCCATAGAATCATTTTCTTTTTTCATCAGGCCAAGAGTACCAACTAACCTAGAGAAAGAAAAATTAAATTGGAACAAGAGAGATTTAAGTTAGGCAAAAAACAAAATATACATGTGAAACATATATAATGTATACATACTCAAATACGTAATGTGTGAACTATCCCAATATGGCTCCAGGATTTATAGAATCATGTTCCAGAGTAAAAAGAATTTAAGCAAGTTCTTCAAGATAGTATAAGTAGGGCAGCACCTGTGACTCAGTGAGTAGAGTGCTGGCCCCATATACCAAGGGTGGTGGGTTCAAACCCAGCCCCGGCCAAACTGCAACAAAAAAATAGCGGGGCATTGTGGCAGGCACCTATAGTCCCATCTACTCAGGAGGCTGAGGCAAGAGAATCACCTAAGCCCAAGAGCTGGAGGTTGCTGTGAGCTGTGATGCCACAGTACTCTACCAAGGGTGACAAAGTAAGACTCTGTCTCAAAAAAAAAAAAAAAAAGATAGTTTAAGTAGTACACCCCATACTCACAGAACAAGGACATTTTCATATTTCTTCCAATTCTTTATTTTTGAAATAATTTTTTTTTGAGACAGAGTCTCAAGCTGTTGCCCTGGGTAGAGTGCTGTGGCATCACAGCTCACAGCAACCTCCAACTCTTGGGCTTAAGCAATTCTCTTGCCTCAGCCTCCCAAGTAGCTGGGACTACAGGTGCTTGTTTGGCAGGCCCTAGCTGGATTCAAACCCACCAGCTCCAGTACATGTGGCTGGTGCCCCAGCTGGTTGAGCCACAGGTGCTGAGCTTATTTTTGTAATACTTTTAAATTGCATTCATAATAAACTAGGAATGACCTGAAAACAAAGAGCTGGACATGAGGAGAGGACAGCATGCTAATGATTCCTTTTTTTTTTTTTTTAACATAGAATGATGTCCTCTGAGGACAAAAGTTCTGTGACGAAGTATTTAGATCCAAGCTCTAGTATTTAGTGCCTAGCTCTACCACTTAGCAATAGAGTAGTCTCAGGAAAGGGAATAATTTTAACAATCTTACACCTCTGAGTTTTATTCTTTAGTTATTCATGCTAATATGGTGATAATAATATCTCCCAAGGCTGCTTTGAGAATTAAACATAATATGTCAAACAGTGCAGTGCCACAGAAAAACATTACTAAGCTCTTCAAAATGAGGAAATATCTCTAATTCATCTTTGTATACACACCATTATGTTCACTGCATAGCATAAGCTCATAATTTATCCAATTTGAAGGAGACAGTTTTGTAAACAATGAACGCTATGCTGTACAAAGGTAAATACTTCTTATAAATATAAGGTAGGAAACCTAAATCACTTAGGAAGTACAGAAAAAAAAAAAAAAAGACTCATAGAGCCTGTGGCTCAAAGGAGTAGGGTGCCAGCCCCATATGTCAGAGGTGGTGGGTTCAAACCCAGCCTAGCAAAATTAAAATAAAATTTTTAAAAAAAAGAAGCTCATATTCTTTGTCTTTATGGATTAACCCAGGTCATAGATATTGGGAAGTTTGTAAATATTGGGTAAAAAGAAATGAAATTTTAACTTTTAAGTTTATATATGCATTAGACTTAGAATGAGATCAGAGACTAGAAGCCACCAAGAAAAGAGACCCAAGACCATAACTTGTATCACTGAGGCATATACCAAAGCCTGCTATGACCCATTTATGAGAAAAAATAATAGGAGAAATCAGAATTGAATAGCTCTCAAATGAAAGATACAACTTCATTCTAGCCCAAGAATATGGGGAGGGGGCGAAGAAGGGGAGGGGAGAAGGGCGGCTGGGTGGTGGGAGGGTGACTGGAAAGATCACCTATATTTCTGTCTAACAAGGGTACAAGTGAACTTTTCTAGAACTAGAATATAAATGTTTTGACACAATGACTATGCAAATGACATGAAATTTATGTGAACCAGCTTGATGAAAGTATTTCAAAATGTATATGAAAACACTACACTGTACCCCATGTTTGCATTAATGTATATCATTTAATAAAAAAAAAAGAGAAATCAGAATTGTCCTACTTCTAGACTTTCTAACAACTGTAAGTGCACATGAGAAAATAAAGGATTTGCTAAGATATTGTTTTATGGATTTTCCCCTGTGCTGCACTCACATTCATCCCCTACATTGGATACTTGGATTACCATTTAAAATCAGAGAACGTTAATAACATTTCTCCCATTGAAGTGGTTAAGAATTAGTATATACCTTTCTGTCTAGATTAGAGTATTTTCAGCCTAAGCCAGCTCCAGGAGAAATACGAAGTGAGACAAGACTTGTATTTTTCTGTCTCAAGGTACCTATTCTATGTTGTTGCGCTTGGTTCTCTCAAGTTATTCAGAGAAAGTCATCTGATAAAATTATTCATGCTATCAGGAATTTACACAGAAAAAGTACCTGAATTTTAAAAAGAAAAATCTCAGGTGACATAAAATCTTTCTCTAGGACATTATTTCAAGATATGAAAGTGGTTGAGAGATTTGAGGCTCAAGCAGTTTTTGGATGCCTCTGTCACACCATGTTTGTGACCATCCTCCTCACCTTTCTATGCAGCTGGATGCACAGGTGCTTCCATTTCTATAATCCAATCATCAGTAGAAGGAACCACCTCACTTTCCAGAATCAGTAAGAAAATAAAACAAAGCAAAAGTTACAGAGTAGGAAACCATTTGCTATCATATATACAAGCCTACCTGAGCTTTGCTATTTTGGAAACTTTCCAGTCTTCTCTGATAGATCCGGCATTGCAAATTTCCACAAGAAAATAGCATTCTGGTGTTCTTTTTGGTTATCTAAAATGTCTAATTAACAGGGGTTAGGTTCTCATTAAAATTCTGAATTTAATTTAAAACATAATCTTAGAAAAATTCCAAAGAGCCTGAGAAAGAGCTCTTTTTTATAACCAAAGTTATAAAAACAATTGAAAAGAGGTTTCTGCTGTGGCAGGTGGATTGCCTGAGCCATGTGTTCAAGACCAGCCTGAGCAAGAGCAAGATCCCATTTCTAAAATAAGCCAGGTGTCATGACAGGTGCCTGAGGTCTCAGCTACAGAGGAGGCTGAGGTAAGAGAATCGCTTGAGCCCAAGGGTTTGAGGTTACTGTGAGCTAGGATGCCATAGCACTCTACCGAGGGCAACAAAGCAAGACTCTGTCACAAAATAAATAAAAAGAAAAGAAAAGAGGTTTCTGGAAACCAGGAAAAAAATGAGAAAGCATAGTCCAAACCATTGCTATAATTTAGTCTTAGAAAATGGCTGAAAAACACTGTGATTATCTGTTAACATAAAGAAAAAATATATAAAGAGTATATTATTCACATTCTATTTCCACAGAACAAATATAGAAAAGGATAAACTTATATTAAAGATAAGATTAAAATTATAACAGAAGGGTAGATTAAATACAAGAAGAGTAGGTAAAATATATTAATATAACCCAAATTATTACAAACCACTTATAAGCCCTAGTTTATGACCTACCTCCTTAAAGCAATATGTAATATTAGGGAATTTCAGTACTATAGATAGTTTGCACACTGTCTAAGTAATTACTGTAATAAGATTTTGACTAGCAGTGACATCAAAATCTTTACATTTACTTTTTTTTTGAGACAGAATCTCACTCTGTCACCCTAAATAGAATGCCATGGAGTCATAGTTCACAACAACTTTGAACTCTTTGGCTCAAGCAATCTTCTTTGCCTCAGCTTCCCGAGTAACTAGGACTACAGGTGCCCACTATAACACCAGCTAGTTTTTCTATTTTTACTAGAGATGGAGGTCCCTTTCTTGCTCAGGCTGGCCTTAAACTCCTGAGCTCAAACAGTCCACGAGTCTCAGCTTCCCAGAGTGAGAGGGGTACACCCGATGCTTAAAACAAAAGTAGACAACATTATATCCTAGTTATTTGAGTTGAAATCAAGGTAGGGGCTGGATCATGTTTATTTTGGGATTGTTTTTTTACTCAAGATATTTGCTGTCTTCAGGTAGTATAAAAACATAATATCAATCAATATGAAAAGTTTACTTTTAGTATTAATTAAATTGTACTGTTTCATTGAGGCATCCTCCAGCTTTTGTGTTTCTGAAGTCTATGATACAGTAAGAATGTTGGCCTGTGACTATTCCGTGAAGAATGAGAAAAGCACTGCACCCATCAGCATGAAAGAATAGCCACCTTCAAAACTACCTCCCACCACAATATAATGTGACTTGCCAACCCCCTCCATGGCCCTGAGAAGCAACATTTAAAAATGGCAGCTCTATTACCAGCAGTAAGATCAGGCCATATCAAAGGTTTTTATTTCATATCCTAAGAAATAACCTAAGAATTCACAAAAGTCAATAAAAATGTTTTTAAGTGCATAAAGTGAGCCAAAGAAATTGAGAATGTATAATGAAAAATAAAAATGTCTTTATGGAAGGGTCATACAGCATGGGAGAAAGAAGACAAATAACAAGCTCTTTAAGTTAAAGGCTAATATGAACAGCTGACAAGCCAGTGTCTAGTCTTTCTAAACAGGGAACTGGAGAGGTCTACAAGGAAAATATTAAAAAATGAAACAAAGTTGACTTTATGGGACTTGTACATTTAGAAAATGAAAGACAAAAAAGAAAAGAAAAAAAACAACAATACTATACTGTATTTTGCTATTTTGAGGGAGGGTTCATTTTTGTCTATGTGGAAATAGAAGCATTAAACTTGACCATGACAACAATAGAAAATAAAATTTTCTAGCTGGAATATAAATGTCATGTTAACTCCTTTGGGGGGTATTTAAAGCATTTTTAAAATTTCTTCTGGAACATCAAGAAATGGACACCATTAGTGGAGATCTTATGCACAATGCTATTTCCTATTGGGAAGGGCATAATCTTTGACTCTAAACATTTTTGGTCTTATTTGAAACATCACATTTAATAGTGTATTTGGGAAAACTGAACAAAGATACAGCATAAAACAAATGAAATAATTAAGGAAACAGAAAATAGGATCTAGGGGGACTATAGTAGAATTAGGTCTTGTCACAATATTGCCATGAAACCAGTGCCTTCAGTTATGTGAGGTTAGTCCTATCTTATTCAAACCTTATAGCTACTTTCGAAGGTTCCACTAGCCCTAGAATTCCTTGAATTTCACTGTTAGGCATATAGAAATTTCATTGTCCTGTGATATCTCAAAGTATAAATCTAGAACAATAAAATTCAACAAATTCTTAAATTTAAAAGTAGCTAATACCAGAGTAAGAACAACAATGGGTCTAAAAATAGCATAAGTGGCAGAAAGAGGATCAGGAAGGTAATTGGAGCTTGGAACAAACATATCTGAGAAACTTACATCATTGCTTGTCAGGAGCTGTGTGGTTTTAAGGAACAATGGGCTATCAGTCTCAGGCTGGCAAAATGGGTAATCCTTAGATGACCATCACAGATGCCAAATCTGTGACTTACCTGTTTCCTTATAAGCCAAGCCCTAATTGAGGTCTGGCTATATGGATTAGAAAAATCTCCTGTCCCTAGGGCTCTGATTGTAGCTGATATTTTTATGGTCTTTACGACATTGCATAGCCTAATGAGACCTGGGATTCCCTTGACTGTTGTTTTAGTTGTCTTGAATTTCAGCTCTTGCTACAAAGTTGACCTTGAACCATGTAGGCTCTGAAATAGTCAGACCTGTGAGCTTGTCCCTTTTCATTACTTTGGATTAACTTAGCCCTGCAGATGCCACCCATTTTCCATGCCTCAATCTGTACTTCAGAAAGAAGATTCTCACTGGTTTATACCTCAACCATGCCTTCTGGAGTGGCACAAACTAAAGGATAAATACTAAGCTATCCCTGTAACTTGTAAAAGAAGAAACACTTCCTTCAAGGTGTTCTGGAGATTTGATATAACACCTGAATCTCTGGATGACACCATAGACAGTATATCTACCAGTACCTATTCATGAATCTTATCCAAAAAAATTAACTATTTTTATTAGTAAATGAATGTTTTTATAAACTATTGCCATCAATGTATAATTTTTTAAATACCATAAAACATAATTCCTCAAGGAAATAGATGATGTGCACGTGTCAAAAATTGTACTTATTTCAGTAAGGAGGGACAGTAGGATAACAAGAAAGTTTAAAAGAGATATGACAAATGTGATTTTTATGTTATAAGAAAAAGAATACTATACAATCAGAAAAACAACATTAAAATAAAATTTCTAAGTTGGATGTAAACCAGTTGATGGTTTAAAAGATAAGTAAATCAACACAGTTTAGCAGTTTTCTATAATATCTAATTTTATATAATTATACAATGTTAAAATATCATAAATAGTAAATAGTAATAAAAAGTAAAGAGTGAGATAAACAAAATGACATGCCCATAGAAAGCAAGATGTCCCTTATGCAAGCTTTTCATTTTGTTTTGTTTTGTTATATTCTGTATGCATATATGTGTGTGTGTGTGGTTTGTGTGTGCGTGTGTGTGTGTTTTGAGACAGGGACTTTCTCTGTCACCTGGGCTAGAGTGTAGTGAAGTCATCATTAGCTCCTGGAACCTCAGCTCCTGGCCTTGAGTGGTCCACCTGCCTTAGCCTCCCAAGTAGCTAGGACTATAAAAGTGCATCACCATGCCAAACTAATATTTTTTATTTTTTGTAATGATAGGGTCTTAGTTTTGCTCCACTTGGTCTCAACTTCCTGGCTTAAGTAACCCTCTAGGTGGGCTTTTTAAACAATGTTTTAACATGACATCAAAAGGTCTTATAATCACTGTTTGCCTGCTTTAAAAGCTTTAGATAATTTTTCTTAAATGGTTAAGAAATGATTATAAATAGCCTTCAAAGATATTCTACATCACAAATATTTCTTATCTTACTGCATTTTAATTTTATTTGCCTTGTTTGTGCATATATGTACAGCAAGAGATTTTCATTAATTCTTGCAAATCTCCTTTTCAAATCCCTATGCTTCCTGACCCCAAAGTGTACAAATAATCCCTGCAGTCCTAAACCCACAGCTCACCTGTCCCCCTCTCTGGTTGCCTGATGGACTGCCCGCTGCAGAGGCTGGAGTGTTTGGCAAGTTCTCTGAGAGACCTCTGCATTTTGTGAGTCACTAAACCGAGCAGCATCCCCACCCTGCTGCAAGAGGAAACAGTGGTGCCACAGTTCTAACTTTGGTGTGGGAGGCATGTTTCTCCTGGCTCTCATTACTGCTAGAGGAGACCTTTCCCCAGTATTCTGGAGAGGCCTTTCTGTGCCTGGCGATCCCCGGCAACTGTGGGCTTCCTTCCCTGCAACTTGGAGAAAGACATGCCTAGCCTCTAGTGACTGGCACTGGGAAGGTCCAAGAACTAAACCTGCTCCTCAGCTGTGTGTAATGGCTGTATTTTATCTAGTCCACAGCTGGGACTGAGGGGAAAGAACCGTGGCTTCTCTGAACTTCTTTTAATGGAATTTGCTTGCACTGCCTGAGTGAGTTTGACTGGAACTCTTTATCAGAACTATCTACAGATTCTTGTTCTCCAGCCACAGCTATCTGTGGCTGCAAGTTCCCTGCTGGGGGTTGTGGGGGGAGAGAGTTGGAGCAATGAGGAGCAGAATCAGTGGTCATCCAAAGATGCTCCTCCTTCATCTCTCACCAGTGAGGGTAAGGGCTGCTTCTGTCTGAATCTTTGAGCAGCAGATCCCACAAAATTCTGTAGCTATTCGCAATTGAATGGAGAACAGGCTGACACTAAGACAGGATCAAGTTGCACTATAAGTCAGCCATCAGGCACTCTCCCTATAAGCTAAAAGGGAACTTCATGAGTCAGGGGAAGGGCTACAAGTACAAGCTCCAGCTCATTGGTGAAGGGGTATTTAGCTCCATTTCCTGGGGTCTCCAGATTTGGTCTTGCCTAGCCAGTTTTACTTGTCAAATAGGCCTGTATAATGCTTGCTAAGGGTCCTCAATTAGACTATCTCTCAATAACTATTCAGAGACAATCTATAATTTCAACTAAAAAACTAAAATTAATATATTTTTAAAGCTGAAAATACTCAAGGGGAGGAGCCAGCAGAAGAATTCTGGTAACACAAAAAATCAGATCAGTTCAACTTTCTCAAAGGATTATAAGGGAAATACAGTAAAAACTGTTATCCATAGAGAAATCACTGAAATGTCAGAAAAAGGATTCAGAATATGAATGGCAAATAAGATGATTGTAATTGAGGAGAAGATGGAAATAAAAATTTTAAAAATACCTCAAAAATTGTCTTGAGAAATTAGTGAATTTAAAGACAAAGTCACCACCTGATTGTTTGTGCCCTCACATTAATCTTATATAAAAGAATAAAAAAAAAGGTAAAGAGAAAGTCACCAAGGACATGGACATAATAAGGAAAGAAAAGGTATAGCATGAAGAATTGAAAGAAGCATTCAAGGAACTTTGAAATACAGTAGAGATTCTCAGTAATAGAGAATCTGGAGAAGAAAGAATTTCAGGGGGAGCGGAGCAAGATGGCAGACTAGAGACAGCTTCTTTGCGGCTATGTGTGGTGAGATTAGGGAGAAAAGATTCCAGACACCTTGGCTTTGTGAAGTTTTCCCACAAACATCTCTTCAGGGACACAGGGAGGCAGCAAGAGATTTCAACACCCCAAGAGAAATACAAAAGCAGTGGAGAAGCAGCAAGTACTTTGGTGCAGGCCAAGGCCAGCTGGCCTGTACAGCTATGGTGATGACAGTTTGTACACAGAAAAGGCCTATCCTGAAAGGTTGTTTTTGGACCTGAGCACTTGGTTGAATTACCTTGGAAGAGATTGGGCAAGTGAGCAAGTGACTTTGAAGAGTAATCAAATGCCAGAACTGAGTCACTGGGCAGAGTGGAACTTTAATTGGTGGGTTGCAGGCCAGGTACAGTCATTGTGGGAAAGTTGCCTTGCAGACTCAGTCCTCAGCATCCTAGTGCCAGGCTGATTCTGGTGTGTGTGATAAGCAGGGCAGCCACTTCTGAGGAGATTTGAGCAACACATGCTTTCTTCAGAAAGCCACTGAGTAGCCAAGGGACATGGTTTGGAAAAGTTGAGGCATGTCTATTAAGTGGGCTAAGGGAAGCTTTATGCTCCCAACACAGAGGCATGGTAACTTAAAGAGCAGGAAGAAGTTAAAGAAAAAAGTAAAGCAAGGAAAGAAACAAAAAGAAAACACTTGTGACCTACAGGGCAAATCCATCAGGGTGACCATAGACCTCTCAAATGAAACTTTTTCTACCTTTAACCTACTTAAGCAAAACAATTTTCAGCCAAGAAGTCTATATCTTGCTAAGCTTTAAAATTGATACAGAAATCAAATCATTTACTGATAAGCTAACATTGAGGAAGTTTGTCACAACAAGACCAACTCTATAGTAAATACTAAGACCTATTCTACACACTAACCACCACAATGGACCACAGCAAGATAAACACCTAGAAAATAAGAACAAAATAGCTCCCACAATGACACAAGTATAAAACTAAGCAATGGACTTTCACAAAAGATGAATAGAACTCTACTAAATTTATCAATTCTCTAAATATATGTTAGTTGGCTTGAATTATCCACTGAAGAGGCATAGGCTGGCTGATTAAATATAAAAGCACAAGCCATCCATTTGCTGCCTGCAGGAAAGACACCTAGCCTCAAAGTGCTAAGTAAAATTTAGGGTTAAGGGATGGAAAACAATTTTTCAGGCAAATAGGAATGAGAAGAAAGGAGGAGTTGCAATCATATTATCAGAACAAGTGAACTTAAGGCAACTAAAGTGAAAAAAAACAAACATGGAAACTTCATATTGATCAAGGGAAAAATAAAACAAGAGGACATTTCTAATCTAAATATTTTTGGACCCAACTTAACTGCTCTCAGATTTTTGAAACACATCTTAATTAGTCTGAGCAATATGATATCCTATAACACCATAATAGCAGCAAACTTTAACACTCCTCTTACAGTGCTGGACAGATCCTCTAAACAGAAACTAAACAAAGATACAAGGTCACTAAATGTGACCCTGGAACAACTGTGCTTAATAGACATATATGGAACAATCCATCCCAAGTTTAAAGACTACACATTCTTCTTGTCAGCTCATGGAACATTCTCCAAAATAAAACATATCCTAGGGCACAAATCAAACCTCAACAAAATTAAAAGAATTGAAATTATACCCTGTATCTTCTCAGACCACAAGGCAATAAATGTGGAATTCAACTCCAACTAAAATTTTTATCCCCATACAAAAGCATGGAAATTAAACAACCTTATGCTAATGACAATTGAGACAAGGAAAAGATAAAAAAGGAAATCTTTAACTTATTTGAGCATAACAACAATGAAGACACAAGCTACCAAATCCAGGGGCACACTGCAAAAGTGAAATTTAGTACTAAGAGCGAAATTTATCACATTAACAGCCTACATCTAAAAAACAGAGAGCACATTGACAACCTAATGAATCATCTTAAAGAATAGAAAGAGCAATCTAATCCCAAACCTAGCAGAAGTAGAGAAATAACCAAAATTAAGTCAGAAATAAATGAAATTGAAAATTTAGAATCATTCAGAAAAACTTTTGAAAACTTTCAAAAAGTTGATTCTTCAAAAAGATAAATAAAATCCATAAACTATTGGTCAGACTAACCAGAAATTAAAAAAGTAAAATCTTTAATAACCTCAATCATAAGTGAAAAGGGGAAAATAACAACTGATACTACAGAAATATAAGACTACTATAAAAAACACTATGCCCATAAATTTGACAATGTGGAGGAAATGAACCAAAACTTGGAATTACACCATCTTCCTAGACTTAACCAGGAAGAAATAAATCTCTTGAAGAGACCAATATCAAGCACTGAGATTACAGAAACAATAAAATGCTTCAAAAAAAAAAAGAAAGAAAGAAAGAAAAAACCAAAAGCTCAAGACCAGATGGCTTCACATCAGAATTCTATCATACCTTCAAAGATGAACTTGTACCTATACTGCAGAATCTATTCCAAATTATTGAGAAGGAAGGAACCTTCTCCAAATGTTCTATGAAGCAAACATCATCTTGATTCCAAAAACAGGAGAGGACCCTACCAAAAAGGAGAACTACCAACCAAGATCACTAATGAAGATCACACTGAAAGCTTTTCCATTTAGAACTGTAGCCAGACGAGGCTGACCACTATTGCCACTATTTTTCAACATTGTGTTGGAAGTTCTAGCCAATGCTATCAGGCAAGAAAAGGATATAAAAGGCATATTCCCATCTGATCTTTGATAAACCAAACAAAACCAGGCAATGGGGAAAAGAGTCCCTATTTAATAAATGGTGCTGGGAAAGCTGGTTAGTTATACATAGAAAACTGAAAGTGGACCCCTATCTATCACCACAGACAAAAATTAATACCACTGGATAAAAGATTAAATTTAAGATGCAAAACAATAAAAATTCTGGAAGAGAGTATGGGGAAAATGCTTGAAAAAATTAGCCTGGGAAAAGATTTTATGAAGATGACTCTCATGGCAATTTCAGCAACACCAATAAATGGGACTTGATCAAGCTAAAAAGCTTCTGCAAAGCTAAGGGTACCACAACTAAAGCAAATAGACAGCCTTTAGAATGGGAGATGATTTTTGCATGTTATGAATCTGACAACAGGCTGATAACTAGAATCTGCAGAGGACTCAAATTAATCAACAACAAAAGAACAAACCATTTAAAAGTGAGCAAGAGACTTTCTTTTCTTTTTTTTTTCTTTTTTTTGCCGGGGCTGGGTTTGAACCCACCACCCTGGGCATATGAGGCTAGCAACCTATGCCTTGAGCCACAGGCACCACCCCGTGAGCAAGAGACTTGAAAAGAAACATCTCTGTAGATGATAGATGGCCAACAAACACATGAAAAACTGCTCAAGGTCTCTAATCATCAGAGAAATGCAAATCAAAACCACTCTGAGATATTACCTAATACCAGTGACATTAGCCCACATCACAAAGTCCCAATATGCAGATGCTAGCTGGCATGAATGTGAAGAGAAGGGAACACTTTTGCACTGCTGGTGGGACTACAAACTACTACAACCTTTATGGAAAGAAGTATGGAGAATCCTTAAAGAACTAAAATTCAAACTTCCATTTGATCCCACAATCCCATTACTATGTATCTACCCAGAAAAAAATCATTTTACCACAGGACATCTGTACCAGAATGTATTGCATCTCAGTTCACACTTGCCAAGTTGGGAAAGCCACTCAAATACTATTCAACCTATGAATGGATTAACAAACTGGGGTATGTGTATACCATGAAGTACTATTCAGCCACAAGAAAAGATGGAGTCTTTTCATCTTTTGTGTTTACCAGGATGAGTTGGAACACATTCTTCTTAGTAAGGTATCTCAGGAATAGAAAAAAAAATACTCATGTACTCAATACTAATATGAAATCAATACATAAACAATTACATGACCACAGGAAAGATACAACACAAATATAGAAAGCAGGACAAGGGGAGGGAAGGGGAAATTAGTGGGAAGGGGAAATTAGTGGGAGGAGTGAAGCTAATTCTCAGGATCTCACCTAATATGCACAATGTGAGGATGTTCAGCACATCCCCTGGGTGAAAGGCTCAACGATAATTTGAACTTTACTTTAGAATTGAAAACAACGCAACCTAAACATTCATACCCTCATGTTAATTTAAAATAAAAGAAAACTTATGGGTAAATTAACAGGAGTGGGGTTGCTAGATCACATGGAAATTCTTAGTTTTCTGAGGAAGCACCACATAATTTTCCATAATGACTATACTAATTACATTCCCACCAACAGTGCATGGGGTTGCCCTTTCTCCACTGGAAATTAGTATCTTTTATCTTTTTGATATTACCCATTCTAACTGGGGTGAGGTGAAATCTTATTGTAGTTTTAATTTACATTTCACTTTTCTCATAGACATAGCAAAAACAATGCTAAAATTTATATGGAACCATAGAAAACCCTGACTAGTCAAAGAAACTACAAATGAAAAGAACTAAGCTAAGGCATCACACTACCTGTTTTCAAACTATACCATAAACAATGCTTTTATAATTCAAACATCATGGGACTAGCATAAAAATAAACACATCAACTAGTGTAACAGAACAGACAGCCCAAAGCTCAGAAAAAAATCCAGGTTTCTATAGTCAATTAATCTTTGACAAAGATAAGAAGAATATACAATGGAAAAAGAGAATACTTCCATAAATTGTGTTGGGAAAACTGGATATCTACATTTAAAATAATGAAATTGGACTTTTATTTCACACAATATACAAAAGTAAACAACTTAAAATGGGTTAAGGGCTTAAATATAAGACCAGAAAACATAGAGCAAAAAGTACTTGGTCTTGGCAATGACTTTTTAGATTTGACTCCAAAAGTAAAAGAAACAAAACCAAAATAGACAGATAAGATTGGAACAACAACAACAAAAAAATCTTCAGTATATCAAAGGAAACAATTAACAGAGGAACAAATAAAATCCTTAACTAGAAGAAAATATTCACAAGCCATCCATGTGATAAGGGACAGAATTTGAAATCTATAAGGAACTGAACACCAGGAAGAACCACTCAGCCCCTGACACCGGGTATCCACAGAGAGAACCTCTAGACCCACCCTGGTGCCAGAAGCCCATTTCCCAAGTGAAATGAATTTGAGTCATCTGCTAAAAATGAACATATGCCTCCCCTAGGATCCAACAATTGATATTTATAAAATATAAATCCTTAAATCATATACCAAAGATTTACATATATCTAATAATAGTCATAGCAGCATTGTTTCCAACAGCCAAGGCTAGAAACAATACTAATATCCCACTAATAATAGGATGGATACCTGTAGTATAAGCATTCAAAGAAACATTATACAGTAATAATTCTTGGACCCATAGCATAGTGGTTACAGTGCCAGCCATATATACCAAGGGTGGCAGGTTCGAACCTGGCCCAGACTAGCTAAACAACAATTACAACTGCAACAAAAAATAGCCAGGTGCTGTGGTGGGGGCCTGTAGTCAGGAGGCTGAGGCAAGAGAATCTCTTAAGCCCAAGAGTTTGAGGTTGCTGTGAGCTTTGACTCCATGGCACTCTACCAAGGGCAACATAGTGAGACTCTGTCTCAACAATAATATTATTATTATTATTAATGATAATTGAACTTCAGTTATATGAAAAGCCACAGATAGATTTTTACAAATACTTGTACAAGGGTGAGGGGCAAGATAGCCTACTGGAGCCAACTTTCAACACCAGCTACCATCTAGAGGAAAGGATAATGACCAGAAAGTACCCAATAAAGCTGAAGACTGGGAGCCAAACTGAGAGACAAGAATGATAACTGCACATCACCTCTGCTGAGGCAAGCTGTGAAGCTGTGACTCCAAGAAAGCAAATTTCAGGTACAAAACTCATCCCAAAGGAAAAGAGTCCATCCCCTCCCCCAAGAGAATTGTTCATTTATTTATTTTTTTGCTTGCCATAGGTTTTCTACAGGTGAGTTGTGAACTGAGGACCTCTTGTCTCACCCCCCCAGGAGAGAGTTGCAGGAAGTGGGGACTACTTCTCCGGAGTGATGCAGATGTGACCCTGATCACTCTCTTGCCAGGTATGAAAGTTGAACTAATGTTTTCTCTGCCATTTCGAACTTCCAGTCCACCCTCCCCCCAACCCAACAGTCCTGAAGTCTAACCCCTGCAGAGACCAGAATGTCTGCAGTTCATTGCCACATCTGAGCACTGCAAGGGCTGTGGTAGAAAAGCTGCACTGTAAAAGTGAGCCCAGCAGTAGTGCAGACAAAGGAGGGGAGGCTGTCGGGATTGGCTCTGAAAAGTGCAAACTAGCTGCAGGAGGAGGTTTGCGAACCGTGTACCCCACCCTGCTGGAGCCTTGTGCCTACCCCTACCTCACACCCTGCCAGAGCCACTGGCCGCTCAACCTTGCTGTTGGATCCCTGACCTCCGTGCTCCTAGAGCTGCACTACAGCCACCTCCCTGGCCGTGGAAGCCACCTGAGAGTTGCTCAGCATACCTCCCATGAAGATTCAGCAACAGTAGAGCAATCCCCCCTGGGTCCAATCTTGAGAGACACCTCTCAAACTCTGAGGACTGCAAGAGGAAGCCAGACCCTACCCTATAGGGATATTAGTGCTGCAGAGCAGCTGGGGAAAAGGTGTGGTGGCTGAGAGAGATAATCATTTGCTAACTTGTTATCCTCAGGTTCAGACTGAGCACAGGTAGAACACTCCACAGTTGCCATTGAGTACCCAAGGTAGGCAGGCCTCAGCTCTCCCAGTTGGCTGGTGGCAGAGGGTGGTGGCCAGGCTGAGGGGGCATTGATTTTCCTTTAACACTGGCAGGTGCAAAGCCCTGACACACATCTGCTTATTGGAGGGAGCAGGAAGACAGCTCCATGGGGTTAACAGTGACTGGGCATGAAAGAGGGGCAAGGTGGGGTAACATATACCGGCCCCCTGGTCCAACTCTGCTACTGGGTGGGCCTTTCTGACTCCCACAGCACCAGAATGATTCACATTTGAGCAAACAGTAGACCTCTACTATCTAGTTGCTGGAGACCTTTCAAACTCTCCAACTTGAGAGTTGGTACTGACTGGGTCAATTGGTTTAGAACTCCTAATCTGGGCCCATCACCCAAGGACACTCTTGGGTGATACCCTGATTGTGTGACAATGGGAAGGTTTGATTTTCCTCTTACAGTTGTTGACTGTGGGGGGCAGAGTGTCTTAGCTGCTTGTATTTCTCCACATCTGAAACTTTAACCCAGAGTCATTGATCTACTAAGATTGGAGAAAGACAAGCTGAATAAAAGACAGAGCCACCTAACCCCACCACATTAAGCAGATCCCCAGAGCCTCAGACTGTAATACTGTGCAGTCCTTTGCAAAGCTGTAGGGGGAAAAGCTACAGTCACCAGTCCCAGATCCTTAGCAAAGGGCTGGTTTACAACTCTAGGAGCCCCAAATCCAATAACACCTTACCTGCCCACCTAGCCAAATGGTGAAAAATAATCATGAGGCAGAATCAGCAGAAAAACTCTGGCAACATGAATGATCAGAGTAGATCAACTTCCCCAAGAAATGACAAAACAGACACACCAGATGATCACATTCATAAATAAATGGCTGAGATATCAGAAACCAAATTCAGAATTTGGATGGCAAATAAGATCAACAGAATGGAGGTAAATATGGAATTAGAATGTCAAGGAGTAATTCAAAAGTTGTCTCAAGAATTCAATGAATTCAAAGACAAAATCACAAAGATTTTGACACATTGAGGCTAGAACTTGCAGCCCTCAAAGATCTGAGAAATACAGTAGAATCCCTCCGTAACAGAATGGAGCAGGCAGAAGAAAGGATCTCTGCCATTGAAGACAAAGCTGTTGAATGCTCCCAAATGCTCAAAGAAGAAGAGAAGTTGAGAGCAAAAATGGACCATTCCCTGAGAGAATTGTGAGACCACTCCAAAAGAGCAAACATTCACCATATATGAATCCCTGAAGGAGAAGAGGTTGCTTCAAAAGGCCCAGATGCTCTACTTCAAGAGATAATCAAAGAGAACTTCCCAAACATGGAAAGAGATTCTAAAATCCAGATAGCAGACTGTTTCAGAACCCCAGCATGACTCAACCCAAATGAAGCATCTTCTAGACACATTGTTATCAACTTCACCAAAGTTAATATGAAAGAGAAAATCCTGCAAGCAGCCAAATGTAAGAAAATCATAACCTACAAGGGGAAGAATATTAGAATGACTGGAGATCTTTCTGTTGAAACTTTTCAAACCAGAGGAGAGTGGTCATCAACCTTCAATCTCCTAAAACAAAACAACTTTCAGCCCAGGATCCTGTATCCATCTAAATTGAGTTTCATTTATGATGGAAAAGTTAATACTTTAATGACATACACATGTTGAAGAAATTTGCCATAACCAAACCAGCTCTTCAGGATATCCTTAGACCCATCCTCCATAATGACCAGCACAATGCTCTACCACCAAAGTAATCTCACTCTGAAATTCTTGACCAAAACCCAATTTCCACAGTGATGAAAAAACTCAAAATGTCCACTGGACTTTTGAAAAACTTGACATCCAAAATACTACCAGGCTTATCAGTACTCTTAATTAATGTGAATGGCTTAAACTGTCCTCTTAAAAGGCACAGGTTGGCTGACTGGATATAAAAACTCACGCCAGATATCTGCTGCATATAAGAATCTCATTTAACCTTAAAGGATAAATATAGACTCAGGCTGAAGGGATGCACATCTGTAATCCAGGCAAATGGGAATCAGAAAAAAGCAAGGGTGGCAATTTTATTTGAGGATACACTAGGCTTTAAACCAACAAAAGTAAGGAATGACAAGGATGGTCACATATTTGTTAAGGGAAACACTCAACATGATGAGATGTTGATTATTAACATTTATGCACCCAACAAATTTATAAAGGCGACCCTAACAGATACAAGCAATTTAATATCTTCCAGTACCATATAGTTAGAGATTTTCACACCCCTTTGGCAGTATTGGATAGATCTTCCAATAAGAAACCAAACAAAGAAATTTTGGACATAAACTTCACCATACAACAATTGAATTTAACAGACATCTATAGAACATTTAATCCTAACAAAACTGAATACATGTTCTTCTTATCAACCCATGGAACATCCTCCAAAATTGATCATATCTTAGGTCATTAGTCTAATCTCAGAAAATTTAAGAGTATAAAATTATTCTCTGTATTTCCTTGGATCATCACATAATAAAAGTTGAACTCAATAATAACAGGTATCTGCATACTCATACAAAATCATGGAAACTAAATAACCTTATGGTGAATGATAGCTGGGTCATAGATGAGATTAAGAAGGAAATTGCCAAATTTTTGGAACAAAACGATAATGAGACATGATTTATCAAAACCTCTGGGATACTGCAAAGGCAGTCCTAAGAGGAAAATTTATAGCATTGTAAACCTTCCTCAAAAGAACAGAAAGAGAGGAAGTCAATAATTTAATGGAACATCCTAAGCAACTGGAAAAGGAAGAACATTCCAACCCCAAACCCAGCAGAACAAAAGACATAACTAAAATTTGAGCAGAATTAAATGAAATCAAAAGCAAAAGAATTATTCAAAAGATCAATGAATCAAAAAGTTATTTTTTGAAAAATTCAACAAAATGGATAAACCTTTGGAGAAATAACAATAGACACCTCAGAAATAAAAAAAATCATAATGAATACTACAATAAAACTTTATTCTCAGAAATATGAATATATGAAAGAAATTGAAAAATACATGGAAGCACTCCAACTTCCTAGACTTAATCAGAACAAATTGGAAATGCTGAACAGACCTATATCAAGAACTGAAATAGAATCACTATATGAAATCTCCCTAAAAAGAAGAGTCTGGGACCAGATTGCTTCACATCAGAATTCTACCAAACCTTTAAAGAGCAACTAGTACCTATATTACTTAACCTTTTCCAAAACATTAAAAAAGAAGGAATATTTTCCAATACATTCTATGAAACAAATATCATCCTGATCCCCAAACCAGAAAAAGATACAAGAAGAAAAGAAAACTATAGACCAATATCTTTAATGAACATAGGGGCAAAAATATTCAATAAGGTCCTAGCAAACAGAATCCAGCAATACATCAAACAAATTATACACCATTACCAAGTGGGTTTTATCCCAGGGTCTCAAGGTTGGTTCAATACACATAAATCCATAAATATAATACATCACATAAACAAAAAAAAAAACAAAGACTATATGATTCTCTCAATAGATGCAGAAAAAGCTTTTGACAATATCCAGCATCTTCTCATGATCAGAACAATTAAGAAAATAGGTACAAAAGAGACTTTTCTTAAACTGATACAGGCAATCTATAGCAAACCCATGGCCAATATCATATTGAATAGAGCAAAACTGAAAACATTTCCACCTATATCAGGAACGAGGCAAGGTTGCCCATTGTCTCCACTGCTTTTCAACATTGTAATAGAAGTCTTGGCCATTGCAATCAGGCAAGAGAAGGCTATTAAGGGTATCCAAATAGGATCAGAAGAGATCAAACCATCACTCTTCACAGTTGATATGATTGTATATCTGGAAAAAACCAGGGACTCAACTACAAGACTCTTAGAAGTGATCAAGGAATACAGGAGCATCTCAGGATACAAAATCAATACTCACAAATCACTAGCTTTATATACACCAATAATAGTCAAGCCAAAAAAACAGTCAAGAACTCTATTCCCTTTACAGTTATGCCAAAGAAGATGAAATATTTGGGAATTTACCTTTTAAAGGACATGAAAGATCTCTATAAAGAGAATTATGAAACTTTGAGAAAACAAATAGCGAAAGATGTTAACAAATGGAAAAACATACTATGTTCATGGCTGGGAAGAATCAACATTGTTAAAATGTCCATATTACCCAAAGCAATTTACAAATTTAATGCAATCCCTATCAAAGCACCACCGCTATACTTTAAAGATCTGGAAAAAATAGTACTTAGTTTTATATGGAACCAGAAAAACCCTTGAATAGCCAAGACATTACCCAGAAATAAAAACAAATGAGGAGGAATCATGCTATGAGACTTCAAACTGTACTATAAATCTATAGTGTTCAAAACAGCATGGTGTTGGCACAAAAATAGAGAGGTAGATGTATGGAACAGAATTGACAACCAAGAGATGAACCCAGACACTTCTAGTTATTTGATCTTTGATAAGCCTATCAAAAATATAAATAGGGGGAAACATTCCATATTTAACAAATGGTGCTGGGAGAATTGGTTGGTGACTTGTAGAAGACTGAAACTCCACCCAAACTTTTCACCAATAACAAAAATTGACTCTCACTGGATAAAAGATTTAAACTTAAGACATGAAACTATAAAGATTCTTGTAGAGAATGCAGGAGAAACACTTGAAGAAATCTGCCTGGGAGAATACTTTATGAGGAAGACTCCCCGCCCCGGGCAATTGAAGCAACACCAAAAATACATTACTGGGATCTGATAAAACTAAAAAGCTTCTGCACAACCAAGAACACAGTAAGTAAAACAAGAAGACAGCCCTCAGAATGGGAGAGGATATTTGCAGGTTATGCTTCTGACAAA